CGCCGTCGCTGGCGACTCACGGCAGCCCAGCTCCAGGTTGAGCTGTTGTTCAGCATCTTAGCTGTGGAGGGCAGTGTCACTGGCCCTCATATGTGGGGTCCGAACTGGGGCCCTCTGGCGTCCCAAGCCAGTTCTTAATCATCGCGCCACTCAGCCGGCCCCAGATATAGTTTTTTTATATATATATTTATAAAGATTTTTTTTTTATTGGGGAACAGTGTGTGTTTTTTTCCCAGGACCCATCAGCTCCAAGTCAGGTTGTTGTTTCAATCTAGTTGTGGAGTTGTGGGGATTGAACCAGCAACCTTGGTGTTATGAGCACTCTAAACAACTAAACTAACCGGCTGCCCCAACTCCAAGTCGAGTCGTTGTTTCATTCTAGTTGTGGAGGGCGTATCTCAGTGGCCCATGTGGGAATCGAACCGGCAACCTTGGTGTTATGAGCACTGGGCTCTAACCAACTGAGCTAACTGGCCGCCCCTGGATACAGTTTCTTGAAACAACATCAATCACTTATGCTCTTGGTGTCATATCTAAGAAATCTTTGCTTAACCCAAGATCATGGAAAAGACTGTGTTTTCTTCTAAGAAAGCTCTAAATTCATCTTTTTGCATGTGGTTATTCAGTATTCCCTGCATCATTTCTTGAAAAGACTATCTTCCCCATTAACTTACATTGTTGGCACCCATATTAAATATCACTTGACTATAAATGAAAGTTTATTTCTGGTACCTCAATTTCGTTCATGTCTATCCTTATAGTACCACACACTCTTGATTACTGTAGCATTATAGTGTTTTTTTTGGTTTCTTTGTTTTTACTTTGCAAAAATTTTTAAACTTTTCAATTACAGTTGACATTCAGTATTATAGGTGTACAGCATAGTGGTTAGACATTTATATAACTTACAGAGTGATCCCCTGATAAGTCTAGTACCCACCTGACACCATACATAGTTATTAGCACATTGTTGACCATATTCCTCATGCTGTACTTTACATCCCCTTTACTGTTTTGTAACAGTCAATTTGTATTTCTTAATTCCTTCACCTTTTCATGTAATTAAGTTTTGAAATGGGGGAATTTAAGTCCTTTGATTTTGTTCTTTTTCACAATTGTTTTGGTTTTTCCTGCATCTTTTATGTTTCCATATAAATTTTAGAATCACCTCATCAATTCAAATCTGTAAAAGAGCCAGCTGTGATTTTGATAGGGATTTCATTGAACCTATAAATCAATTTGGGGAGAATTGCTATCTTAACAGTATTAAATCTTCTAGTCAATGAACATGGATATCTTTCCATTTATTTAGGTTTTTAATGTATAAATCTTATATTTTGTTAAATAGATTCCTATTTTGTTATTTTTGATAAATTGTGAATGAAGTTGTTTTCTTAGTTTGATTTTTCAGTTCATTGCTAGTATATAGATATACAATAGATTTCTAAACATTGATTCTTGTATTCTGCAACCTTGCTGAACTCATTTATTATTTCTAATTTTTTTGTGTGGGTTCCTTAGGATTTTCTACATACAGTATTATGTTATCTGTGAATAAGAACAGTTTTACTTTATCCTTTCCAATATGAATCTTTTATTTCCTTTTCTTGTCTGTCCGAACTCTTTTTATTTCCTTTTCTTGTCTGTCCGAACTGGCTAGTATCATATTGATTAGAAGTAGTGAGAGTGGACATCTTTGCCTTGCTTCTGATCTTATGTGTGATGTTAGCTAATCTTTTTATCAGAGTCAGCCTTCCATTTAAAAAAAATTTTTTTTTTAAGATTTTATTGGGGAGTTGGGGAAGGGGCACAGTGTTGAGGAATTGGTGGAGGGGAACAGTGTTGTGGAATTGGGGAAGGGGAACAGCCAAGTTGTCCTTTAATCTTAGTTGTGGAGGGCACAGCAAGCTCAGCTCCAAGTCCAGTCACCATCTGGCAGCTCGCAGCCGCTCAGCTCAAGGTGCCATGTTCAATCTTAGTTGTGGGTGGGCGTAGCCACCATCCCATGCGGGAGTCCAACTGGCAGCCTTATTGTTAAGAGCCCGCGCTCTATCCCCTGAGCCACCTGGATGGCAGTGCAGCTCAAGGTGCCAAGTTTAGTCTTTTTTTTTTTTAGTTGCGGGTGGGCGTAGCCCACCATCTCGAACAGGCAACCTTGTTGTTAGGAGCACGTGCTCTCACCAGCTGAGCCATCGTGCCACCTGTTGGTAGCTCAGTGGCAGCTCAGCTTGGGCACAGCTTGGGCGCAGCTCACTGGCCCATGTGGGAATCGAACCAGTGACCCTGTTGCTCACATCTCGCACTCTTGAGCAAGCTCTTAACCAACTGAGCCACTTGGCCGGCCCAGGCCTATCATTATTATTAGCACATATATTAGGATTGACTTATCTCTCATTCCAGTGAAATTTACATTGAATTACTAATGTATAGGAAAGAAAAATTTGAAAACTGTTTTAAACATTAGCACCAATCCACTCTTAGACCTGGCTCTTTGATCTGATTAAGAATATCTTTGCTTCAAAATCTCAGTGGCTTAAAACAACAAAGGTTTCTTTTTCTTTCATACCACATGTTTATCATGTGTTGGCCAGGGGTCTTAGCTCATTATAGTCACTCAAGGACCCAGGCTAGTAGAGTAGCTGATATTTCAAATGTTGGTTTCAGTGCTAGAGAGAAAGAGAACTCTGGGAGAACTTGCCTTACAGTTAAATGCTGTGGCCTGGAGGTGACACACATCACTTCCTTTCATAACTCATTGGCTAGATCTAGTCACAAGGCTGGACCTAGCCATGAGGGATTCCATGTGCTCAGAAAGAGGAGAGCTGCATATATTGGGTGTATATGTTAAAGACTATCATATGACCTTAGTTCAGGTCACTGTCGTTGGATTGCCCGGTTAGCTGCTTACCAGATCTCCTGGTTTAGCTTCTCTATTGTCCATTTTTTGTATACCAGTCTTCTGTTCATAAATTTGATGATGTCACTGCTTAAGGCTGATCATCATTGCTTTTCAGATAAAGTCATTTTTTCTTGCAACTTGCATGCCCTACCTGATCTAGTCTCCACGTATCTTTTATGCCTATACTTAACTGTTCTCCTTGTACTCTCCTAGTGATACTGACTTGTAGCTCCTCTGATATGCTCTTACTCTCTTCTGCCTCTTGGCCTTTGTTCATACTAGTTCCTTTTCTTGGAACATTCTTTCTTACCTACTTCCCTCTTTCCTTTGGCTAACCCCTATTCTTTTAGGTTTTAGCTTGAAAGTCGTGCTATTCTCACTTTCCAATTTGAATTCAGCACTTAGCCTTTGAATTCTCATAGTACTCACTATTTCTGACAAGGTTACTGCGTTTAATAACGTTACCTTTTCGCCACCTCTCTGTCACATGTAGAAGTACTTAATACATATTTATTGAATGGCTAAGTAAAGTACACGGTAAGGTAGGGAAAAATTCATAGTGTGCATTATCAAAACATCTAGTTATTAAAGGACCTATATGCTTTTCCACCTGTTGCAAGGACCCCATTTATGAAAATGTGATTTTAACAGTGCTCAGAATAGCTCCTAGTTAACAAAAGTATTCTGTATACCTATGTTTCACAAGTCCTTTAAAAGTTGGTTACTTTATTTGTGTTTGTTTATCATATTTGAAATAATATAAAAAATAAATATTTTATGGCAAAGCTATTTCAGTCTGGCAGTTAGCATTGTCTAAATTGAAATGACATATTTTTCACTTCACATATCAAATATTTTCTAGTTTGCCATAATTTTAAGTAGTTTCTTAATGTGTTCAGTTGATGTGCCACATTTAGTAAAAGGCTGTTGTTTCCAATTTTTTGTTAATTTTAGTAAGTTATTGTAAACATCTTTGTATCATGAGCTTTTTTTTTAACTAATTTCTCGATAATTTTCAGAAGTGGCATTTCTGGCCTAAGAACAGTTGTAGTGTAGTGGTTAAGAGCATAGTTTGGGGCCCGTTGAGTGGCGCATTGGTTAGGAGTTGGCTTGTGATGCCAGCTCTGAGCAGCAAGACCCCGGTTTGGATCCCACATGAGGGCGAGTGATGCTGCCCCCTCTGCAGCTAAGATGGTGAACAACAGCTCAACCTGGAGCTGGGCTGCCGTGATTCGCTGGCGATGGCGTAGGCTGCACTGGGGCTGGCCGGCAGCAGGCGTGAGCTTTCGTGAGCTGCCATGAACTGCCGTGAGCGGCCATCCAATGGCCAGCGAGCAACTGCCTCACCCAGGAAGAGCACAATAATAATACCAACATGGGCCAGTGAAGCGACATCCTCCACAACTAGACTGAAGAACAAAATGACAGCAACTTGTCTGCTCCCCTTCTCTGATTCCCCAATGCTGTTCCCCTCTCCCAATTCCCCAATAAAATCTTAAACAAAACAAAACAAACAAACAAAAAACATAGTTTGGTTTGTTCATGGTAGCAAAATAGTATAGGGTTATAAAATAAATCTGTGCAGCCCTTGGAATTTCAAGAAATAAAACTGCCATATTTGTTAACAGGTGTTGTGTGGTCCTATCTTTTGACTGTTTTTTGCAGTCTTTTCTACATTTCTACGGCTTAGCCCTTGAGAGTGAGAAGCAAAATGAAAGCACAAGCTCAAGAAATGTGATTTAGGGGTTGTCTAGTTAAGTTTTAGTTTGAAAATATTAGCCTGGCCCTTCTTAGACCACTTATTTCAACAGTTGGTCCATTTTATGAAATTTTTATGTAAGCATACTTGTGACCTTTCTGAGTATTTGGAGACTTTTTTTCCACACTAATCCTACATAAAATTGAAGTCTTTAAAAATGTATAAGTTGTCTTCAATAAACTAGAAAATACTGCATTTTAATAAGTAGGGACTTTCTGTATAAGTGGAAGTATTTTATTTTGGATTTAAATAAGCATTTTAAATAGTATTTTTATTATCAAATCACATGTAGGATAGTATGCTGTTTTTTAGTCCACATGATTTATTTGGGTATAAGTTATTTTGGCATCATTAGCCTTGCTTATGTTTTTCAGTTTACCTTTTGCTGCTTAATATTCAATTCTTTTTATCCAGTTTTTGAAGTGTCATTTGCAATAGATTAATAAATTATTCACATTTGTGAAGTTTTACTGTATATTTAATGAAAGGGATACACACACACAAAGTACATATTTACTTTATTCCCCCTTCTAGTAGAAAGACTTTTAATCATTCAGAGTTAGTCAATTTTGTAATAACAGTTGGCTTCAGAAAATTTTCTTTTTTTCTCAGTGGTTGAAGACTGTTTTCAAAAATTTTGTTCATCTTTTTACATTCTAGCTAGACCACTTCAATTTCACGTTTTCTCATATTGTACATCATACTTCTAAGAGGGTTAGGTTCACTTTTCAAGTCTTTCACAGTTTTGTTTTTTACACAGCAGCAGCAGTCAAGCACTTCATAAAGGAAAGCCAGCACCACTAAAGATACCACTGTAAATATAAATAAAAGCAGAATGACAAAGCAGGCAGTGTTCCAGTTATCATGGAAAGGGTAAATTTTTTGAACTTGAAAACCAAGGTACTGATAAACAGATGTAGTGGTTTCATTCCAGAGGCTGGAGCTCAGGGAGGCCATTCTTAAGAGATTTCACTTCTTTTATTGCTCTTTTGAATCTATAAAAAAGTAGAAAATGAATATATGTAACTAGACTCTACAGATTTGTCAATTCTAATCTCAGTACCAAGATTTGGTAGTAAACTTATATAGGCAATGTGTGTCTTACTTTTTTCCTGCCAGAATTAATGCCTGAATGGTATTAATTTTTTAATTAATTTCTTAAATTAATTTAAAAATAAATTTAATAGTATTTTTTCCATTTGCCAATGTGCTCTGTAAACAATGCTATATATTTTGTGTATTATTATTAGACAAATATTTATGTTTAAGATTCACACACAGAAATTAACTGCTAGTGGAAGGGGGGGAAAAGGCAGCTGAATTAGTTTAAAATTTGACGAAAGCACTGGTCAGTGAGCTCTTATCTACAACAGATTTTAGCGTTTTAAGGTCATGTTCTTCAAACTGCTCCTAAAAAAGCTTTTCCTATTACCCTTGTGGTTCCTTCTCACCTTCTTGGTTCAGTGTATTTATGTGTCCTATTTCTGCTCCTTTCAGCTTCGAGGACAGGTGACCTGATTCAGGAAATAGTGGCTGAGAGAAAAATAGTAGAGAAAGAAAAGTCAAACAAAGTTGCCTAGAATAGACTTTAACCTTAGGATATTTTTTGTCATGTATATGATAGTTTTGAATGTTTCATATACCAAATGACCTATAGACATGAATATTTATTCAGTGCCCCAAAGGTATCATTTATTAAATTATTATTTCATTTCCCAAAATTAGTGAGTTAAAGTTACAGTATTCTTGCATTAAGTTTTGCCCTTGTTAACCTGATACTTGTTAGGCCTTAAATAGAACCGTAAGACTTGAAGGTGTGATGGTTTTAAAAATAATAAATGAAATTTTATTATGTTGATCTTTCAAGAATATCTCTTTAAACTTATTTTTAAAAAGTATAAAGTACCTATATACCAATAAAATTTTGGAAATAAGAGGAAAAATATCATTTCAATTCAATGACAATTGTCAGTTTGTATGCTTTCTTTTGTGAAAGAAATGACTTATTTTGCATGTTTTTTTCCCCTACGTAGTTGTAAATAGACTTTCATTTATCCTTGTAAACAAGTGTTTATTGATTACTTACTGTATACTGGTACTTTTCTAAGTGCATGAGTGTGTGTGTCATTTAAAGAAAACTTAAAGGTAGTGCGGAAGTATGAGTATAATGAACCCATGTGTGCTCATAATACAGCTTCATTTATCAACTCTTGGCCAGTCTATAGCTCTACCCACTGCTGCCACCCCATGGATTATTTTGAAACAAATCCCAGTCATCATATTCCTTTATCTAGAAATATTCAGTATATATATATATACCTCTTAAATGGTGAGAACTCTTGTTTTTAAACATAGCCACAATATCATTTTCACATCAAAAAAGATAAAAAAGTGATCTAAAAAACCCTAAAGCCATAACAATGTAATTCCTTATATTTCTTTTCTTTATAGGCATAATTTTAAAACTTTGGGGTTGACAAATGAATATTTTTTAAGGTTTTTGTTTTCTTTCTTAAGTCAGATTTGCTTGGCAAATCACTTCACCTCTCTGGATGGACTTGGTTCCTTCCTTCTTTTATGTATTTTGAAGGTTAAATTAATGATCTGAGGCCAGAAGTAAAGGCTTAAATTCATTTTTTCTTTTGATTTGAGAATTCTTCAGTTTCATGGTGATTGGTGGCCCTTCATCTTGAAATGAGGGAGAACAGAGTAGTGGACAGGAATTGAATCAATTGCTTCTGCTAGTTCTGGGATATACAAAAATAATACATTGTAACACAGGTCTGTAACTGCTCATTATATTACATTATGTTCAAGCTATGTCTGGAGACCTAGCCTTTCAAAGTTGTCCTCTTTTATCCTTTGAAATTTTCTCTTTTGAGCATATTTTTATAGAAAGCAGGGCGCAGCTATATTGCACAACTCTAGGGAGTGCCATTCATGTTGTGTTGTGGGGTGCTGTTCATGTGGAATACAATGTAAGTGGTGCCCCTTGGAGTTCTAGAATGTGGGATGTTCTGATAGGCTACCCCTCCAACCTCTGCGTTGTTGTTGCCTCTGATTGTAATCACCATGCACACAAATAGTCAAGTAATCAGTAGAAACTGACTCAAATGGGGACAAACGTTAAGTCTTTTTTTAACCCAGCTTTCCTAATAGTGTGGTGCATACTTCTGCACACACAAATGACTAAAAAAAAATTCAGCTTTGGAACTGTAAGGTTTTTAGCACTACTAAAATGCAGATATTCCTGGGAGGGGTAACACACATTGTTAGTTATTTTTACGTCAGAGTGAAGGAGTTTCAGGTCCTTTCTGAAAAGCAGAGCCTAACAGAGGAGAAGGAGACGGAGAAGAGTAGGACTTGGCAAAATAGGGGACAGAGCCACTTACATGGGTAGGTAAAGAGCCGGAAATTGCTTGAGGGCCTATCTGATCATTTAACCTGGGACCTCTCCAGTATGGATGAAAATATTCCTTAGACTTTCTGTTAAAGCCTTTCAGGTTGATTCCTTTTAAAAATCAGGGAATTTCTCTTGAAGTTTCTCTTCTGAATCTGGCATTAGAAGTGAGTGCAGGGGAACAATGACAGGGAGGGAGAGGAGAAGAGAGTGAGACTTTCCACATTATACCCCTCAAACTAGTTTAACCCACCTTATTAATTAGGTTAATGTTAATTTAAAATGTTATTTTACTGTTGATTTCATAAACATCATTATAGCAATTTTTAAAAAAATTAAAAGCTTCACCCAGAATTCTATCTCCCTAAGATATCAAACTTTAAAAAAAATTTTTTCTCTTAGAAATTGGCTATATAAATCTATGCTCGTACCTGGTTGAAATTATACTGAAGTTATTACTTCGTATTATAATTTATTATGAATAGGCCTTTTTAAAAATTTTTGTTGGCTTTAATACTGGGGAGAAGTTGTAAAGACTAAGTTACTATTTCAAAATGAAATTTTGAAATGATTTGAAAGTTGGTTTAAGAAAATTCATATTCTATTTATTTTTGAGGTACAAGTAAACTGCTTAAATTTTTTTTTCAGGCTCCCTTGCCCCTAAAAAAAATAGAGGGAAGGGAGGAAGAGAAGGCAGAGGCAGGCACACAGACACAAAACTAAATTCAATTATTTGAAGTTTACTTGTACCCATCAGTGAACTGTTGTTCTTCTGGTTAAAATTAATATAGAATATCCACACAATTGAATATTATGCATGAATGAGGTAATTGCATAGTGATATGGAAAGATTTTTAGGATATTTTAAGTGAACAGAGCAAGGTGCAGGACATTAGCTAAGAGGAAAATAATACATATTTTTATTTGCTTGTATCTGCACAAAAATCTTGGATATACAATAAATTAATAACAGTGATTACTAGTGGGGTTAGTTGGAGAGTAGAATCCCGGACAGGAATGTGTGTGAGACTTCTCAAAGTATACCTTGTTACATTCTTTTAGTTTTTGAACCATTTTAATATATTATTCAAAACCCAAACTAATATATTTTAAAAACATTCCTTTCCTTTGGCTTTTAAAAGTCTGTTGTGAGGGCTGGCCGAGTGGCGTGGTGGTTAAGAGCTGCCTTGGGATGCCAGAGGGCCCCTGTTCAGATCCCACATATGAGG